TGTTCTTTCATTTTTTTTCTCATGTTTGTTCAACCAGTCTTATGTTTGGCTTTTATATCATTCACGGTAGTCAATCTGGATGCTATGGAGAAACGTCTGTTTGGTCTGAACGGGCGATGCCCGGCCGTGTTTCCCGGCCGTGTTGGCCACTGTGCTGAGCTTTGCGGCGGTTTAGGTGGTGGATGCCCAAGAGGAAAAATATGCTGCTCTACGGGGTGCGGTAGCGAATGCATGTCTCCTGGTAAGTGTTGGATCTGCTTCTCCTTAACTCTTCAATGAAAACATTGAGCAGTATTGAATATATATCTCCCCATAACAGTTATTACTACAGTGGAACCACTGGTCGTTCTACGCTTTACGTTTAATACGTACCTACAACCAGATAGTATGGACACCACGGTTTGTCCCCTTGGTATCCATTTTAACCGCGTTTCACTAATATAATAATAATAATAATAATGCAAAAAAAACATACTTTATTAAACTCTTCTCAAATTGAAAATTAAATACAAATTTAGTATAACTATAGTTAAAAGAGACTTCTTGGTGGTCTGGTGGTTTTCAACAGAGCAAATGTAAACAGGGTCTGGAAGGGGGGGTCCTGATCCCGCATTCCGGCCCCTTTTTCGCGTGAATCCCGTATCCCCCACGTTTTTCATCAGTTTCCCGAATACCGCTTTGCTTTCTCAGAAAAACTGAGACATTAAAAAGTCTAATTTCTACAAAAGCTAATAAATGTAAGATGAAGGTTGATCCTTTCGATTGGTATTTTGAATTTACGCGTGTTTTTAAAGGTTTCCGGCATTCCCGACAGACACGCAAACTGATAAATCCCGCTTCCCGGAGAACAGTCAAAACCCGGACCCGTCAATATATTTGTCGTTTTCCCGATTCCCGCACCGTATTTTGGTCAAATCCCGAATCCCGAAAATACCCTTCCAGACCCTGTGTAAACAATTGTCTATAAACTAAAAAATGAAAATTTCTATGTACATCCCAATAATAAAGTATCTATAGCTGTTATTATTAATAATAATATTAATAATAATAATAATAATAATAATAATAATAATAACTCAACCGTCAACAACGAATCAAGCAAAGGATCATTATAGAAATATTTTCAAAAAATTTGTTGCAGTGGAAGTGAAACCTGGTTTTTGTCCCAAATTCAAACCTGGCCAGGCTGGCATCTGCCGTTTCGCCTGCCAAGCAGATAACGATTGTTCAGGAGCCGAGAAATGCTGCCTTGCTGGATGCGGCCTCGCTTGCATGAAGCCACGCGGTATGTTAATCAACATGGTGTCTCCATATCTAGGCATTTTACGTTTGCTTCAAGTATACGCAATTCTCTTGTCTGCTTACCCTCGGTAACTTTTCGGGCCCGAAGGAAAGATTCAAAATCGGCTTACAAATCGGTCCATTTTGCTCCTCTAACTGATAGTTTCATCGTATCATTTTCATGGTTAATAAAATTTTGATCTAGACTGCAAACATGCAACGGCAAACGTAAACCAGCTTTACGGGCCCCGAAAAGTTACCGGAACTTTTGAGAAACGGGCCTTAGCATCGAATATCTCCCCAGTCATAATACTGAGTTATCTTCTACAGTAGAACCCTGTTCTACGCTCTATTTAATACGTAGCGACACCCAGATATATGTTCGTGAAGTTTAAGCGAAATCTGTAAGAGCGTTATCGAGATATTTTGGGATAAAGAGTTTGTGGTTAGAAACACAGTAAAAAATGGACAATATTGTTGTTTGGCCGTTATCTGTAGAAAATGAGGCGCTTTCGATATGCAATTTCACCTCATAGTAGTTTCAATCTTTTTAAAAGCGTGTGTGAAAGATCATGGGAGATAGCTCCAGCCTATTGCTAGAAAGAAGGATGTGATTAGTATGTATCGAAGCGCTCTTGTTAGCGGTTTTGTAAACATCTTGGTCTACTTTAACAAATTAGCGAATAATTTTTAAACCGCTTGATGGATTTTTTTTAAAATTTAAGATTCTTGAGATTAACTTTCCTTTTATATGACCTTTTAGTTTCAAGATTATTGATATGTTGTAAGGCAGTGAAATAAGGGCTACGATTTGTTACTTTTTTATCGGAAGTTTCGTCATTACAAGTGAAAGCCTCTAATTATTCAAGGCATTGTCTCCAAGTTTCATTTTCACGTGAACAGTAGTAACTAACAATGCAGTTGAAATATGCAAAAATGTTAGCTATTGTTGTGCACGAAAATATGAAACTTGGACACAATACCCTGAATAATGAGA